GCGCCGCCGCGCTTCCCAAGCGGCGCACTATCCAGTGCGCCACCGGGCCGGCCCACATCTTTTGAACTTTAGAATTTGTTTTTTATTAAATAATTTTTTAAATATTGAAAATAGTGATTAGACAAAATTTTGCTCTGGACTAAATACTAGAAAAAGTATAGTATTTTAAAGTTTCAGGAGATGACTTAAAAACCAGTCATCTGTTCAGAATGGCCCATATTCATATTTTAAAATGAAAGGAAGATTAGTTGGGATTGTTTCAACCACAAAAGCACAGGGGAAAAAATAGCTTCGGTCCAAATATGGCTAGGATTTCCCATCTCAACTTAAAAAAACACATTTCCTTTTCATTTGGCTTACAAATACTTTGTCTTTTGCTCTATAGACATTTTCTTGATATCTCATAACCTAATGATCAGTCTGTATTTGTGATTTCATTTGTGTGTGTGTGTATCATGTCCACTATAAAGTATTTAATACTTGAATAGCTGCTATGTTGTAAGACTGGAGATATTTGACAGTTTGTCTACATTATTTTTTGTAACATAATTTTAGTTAAGGTTTGAAACAAATACATTTAACAGAGGCATTGCAGTGATTTTTTTTGTTACCCATCAAAACAGATTCTTCCTAAAACGTATTGGGACTGATTTAATGATTGTGAATGGCGCTGTTTACATTTTCAAACAGTTAATTTACTTACAGACGCTTTCACTTCCAAATCCCTGTGTGTTATGATGATATCTTTGGGAGAAACCTTCCAGAGTTACTGTAAAAATGAACCTGCCATGATTGGTGACAGAACAACCAAAGGGAGGTTGCTTAGAAATATGCAGGATAGGGTCACCATGGAAACGTGCCCATGGAGGTCCTTCTAAGGAGCAGTCCTTTGCAGTCACCATGGCGACCCTGGCAGAGAACTGAATATAGCAATCTGCCTGGTTATTTACCATGGCAACTCAGACAGGGCCACACTGGAGACAACCCTGGGGCCATTTCTATGGAGACACACTGGGACTACTTTCACTCTATCAAAGTCATCTTTGGGTGGGATGCTATGTGCAAATCCAGCAAAGCAACTCATGATGAAAAGATCAGTGAAATGAAGCTTTACCAAGGAGGGCAAAGATTGGGGGGGTGGATTATAATTACTGAGTAGAAAAATAGCAGTGATGTAACATTCCAGAGTTCATGTTGAATATATCAGGTGATCTTTATGTGGGCTTTGTTCTGTGCAAATAAAGACTCTGTTCTTTTTACTGGCCTGTAACTCTGTGTATGCTGTAAATTCGCAACAATGGCATTATGGTTACTTTTTCCTATCATAAATATGCCCACAAAAGTTACGTTTTTCTACACACTAAAATAATATTTTATAGCGAGTTTCTTGATTATTACCTGGGTCGTTGTACAGTGGCTGGTTTTTAGAGTTTGTGGTTTGTAGTTCTTATCTCCCAGCAATACAATTAATGGTTTCAAAATGACCTAAACTCAGTAAAGACATTCAGAATGCTCATTTGAAGTTCATTTCACTTTATTTAGAGTTTTGTCATTTAGGCTTTGGAATTAAATTGACTTAGCATCAAATTCTAGCTTATCTTCTCAATTCTGTGACCGAGGACAATGTCCTAACTTCTTTTAGCCT